TTAAGTGGGGTTATTAATCTCTTCTTAGTTAAAATTTACGAGGACGTAAAAATTTAGAAAATTATTTCCAATTATGCTCAAACTCGTCTTTCTTTTCTTTCTTTCTTTCTAATTCGGATACACTTTCTTTCTCTTTCTTCTAAGTCTCATAAATCATTACAATAGGTATCCGAAATAAAATAACGATTAAATTTCAAAAACTTCTCTACCGAAAATATATGTTAGATGTTTCGAAAATATACCGAACATATGTAGACATACGCAAAGCATATGCGTACATTTTAAAACATTGGTACTAACAAGAAAAACTGCAACATTTTTAAGTTAGCCAAAAACTTGCAGCGGAGATTGAGCTCCTTGGTGTCGTGCATTTCCAGTTTGTCAGACAACAATCAGTAACCTCAGGGGTGAAAATAAATCCAGCAAAACGTAGGAAAATTATTAATCTATCTGTATATATAAACATTTTTGGGACACGTCCTCAAATACAACATAAAGAATAAATTGAATGAAAAAATATGTATATATTTCTCGTATTTACTGCTTCCCTAGTTCTGGAAAATATCATCAAGAGGACGATAAACAGGAGGAAGAACGGATGAAGCTGTTTAGCATATGTTACTGCATGATATAACATATCGCCTGCCTGGAGCAGGTTGTAAACGTACAATTGGATAAGCAAATCAGGCCATCCAAGCAGTACCCTTCTACCAATCCGGTGCACCTTTAAAATGCCACGTGCTGGAATGCAGATGCCATCTAGCCCTAGTTTATCGGTTAAAAGCATCCTCATTTGCGATCTGTTCACTTCCATAATTCATTCAAAGGACATCAGACTCGATTTAATGAAAATCAGCGCCATGAGGAGTTAGATGGAAGCATCTGCTTTTGTGGAACTATTGCACATGCATTCTGGGATGGGATACTTTGTCACGTCTCGTCTTGCTTTGCTATTTCTGAGTTCTGGCTGTCCCAAGGAATCTTGGTGCAAGTCAAGTATAATTCTGTTGAACTCTGCTTCAGGGAGAGAAGAATTCAGGAAGTATGGGAGCATTTGCCTTTTGTTTGGAGTGATGGTCTTTTTGAGGCCTGCATAAGCCCTGTGCCCCTGTTTCACAAATAAATACATCCATCAATAAAACTTCACGAAACAATTGTGTATTCAAGATATATAAATATAAAGTAGTGTATTATCATGTCTATTATATTGTCCATCTAATTTAGTACCAAATATGGACTAACCATGTGCATTCACCATTTCTGTAAGTGATAATGATCAATAAGAAGTGATCTTTGAAAGCTACGGTACCTGGATAGCATGACCCATATTTCCACCATGTGATGCCAAGAATACGTCACTTTTCTCAGAAACTATATAATCAATAGCAGCCATTAGTGAAGCTTTCTTCTCGAATGGTTTAAGCTCTTCCGGCAAGGCAAGGTCTTCCTTGTTGTACAAATACGGAAATACTCTTTTCAATGGTAGCAAGGCTTCTTTTCCACCCAATGGAATTCCTCCAGCCCAATATATTCTTGTACCTTTTGGAGCTCCCAAAGCTTTGAGAAGCCTAAACACAGAATAAAATCATCACTTAGCAAGTATTCAAGTTGCCGTATTTTAGAACATGTGATTCAGTCATAAAAAAAGATGCTTCACAAATGCTTTTAACTAAATTTGACACTATGAAATAGCCAAAGTATTTTTTGAGATAGATATCAGAGAAGACAAGTCTATTTACTTCATCGGCAAATTGTAGTTGCACATTAGTGCTTGAAACTTGTATTAGGCAACGAAGAGTCATGTCCCTTTTTAATTGTAACACATGTATACACAAGTATCACATGGTAAGCAATAACCAAAGTAATGGTGTGATTTAACTATTTTGCAACTTCAAACATACCGTGTGACCTCCAAGGCATTTAAGGGACAGAGGCCAGCAAGTTTCCTTTCATGATAGGTCATGTTGGATCTTGACGTCAAGAGCTCCGGTCGTCTCCTCCTCTCATCATTTATCATCTTGTCATACTCAGGGGTTAGACCCGGAAGACAGCCTGTTCTCACCCATACATCCTTCTCCATTCGGAGATGAAGTGCAAGATAGGGTCCCTCAGTTTTCATTCTCTCTGTAAGCTTGTTACCAAATTCTGAGATATGTGGGGCAAATCTCAATGCATGAAAAGCAACCTGCAAATTCAAATATGATCCATGATTAGAAAGTAAATTTGATGCAACTAACTCTAGGTGAAGAAGGTAGCAACAAAATGCTTATGTCTTTAAGAAGTCTACTGAACTGTGAAGATTGGGGCAAGGGATTAGTGCAGAAAGTTCAGTTCTTTTCTCAGCATTAGTACTATTGAGGACAATTGCAAAGGTACTAAAACTTAGTTGTACAAAGGTAAGGACAATAGCTACCTTGCACCGAAGCTTTTGAAGATCAGAAGGAAGATCCTTAGAAAGCCTTGAATCAAGACCACGTAAAAGTAATACTCCATCCCTCCTAAGCTGCAGGTAAAGCACAAAATTACAACGATTAGAATTTCACTGCAAAACAATTTCGTATTTTATAATTTCATGGCCAAATCAATATGATTTAAACATCAGAAATTACAGCCGGCAAGTGCAGTACTTGAGTCATTTCTTATTGTTCTTATATTTGGGAATCAGTCAGATTGGGCAGTCATTTGTCAAATGATGGTCAAAGATTCAAACTTTGGAGTCATCTTTATGCCTTTGCAACATTAACATATTCATAGAAGGAACGAATTCTTTAACGAGGAGTTTATTGATTTGCTGCAGGCCATTGATAAAGCACTAAACTAAGCTACCACCAAAGCATGCTACTTCTTTCAGATATTTTCTACTTCTTATATTAGTGATACCAACACCAATCTTCTTAGCCACAAACATATAAGCCAGTTAAATAACTCAAAATGTCTTTTCTTACCCGCTTAAGATAGCGTGAGCGAATCCACTCGGGAGAAGCATGAAGTGGAGTTCTTTTCTCCTCGACCGGCCTTGTCATCAAATGCGTAGAAGGAAGTGACGAAACTATTCTAACATCATTTGCCAAAACATTCTTGAAATGTTCCAAATCAAATATATCAGAAAATTCACTGCACAATCGCAAGAGAAACAAAATGATTTAACCACAGAGAAACAATCTCTAAGACTATTATCATAAAAGAAGGAAATTCAATCTATAACTTAATGCTCCAACAAATAGAATTTCAATCTATCAAATTGACAAGTGTTAAAATTTGAGTGGTATTGTCAATCAAAGTAGTGATATCCAAAGCAAACAGAAATGACAAAACATGATAAGAATATTTCATTGATTAAAGGGCACAAAATGACTTTACTTCATAAAATGGGCGGTTCAATTAAAAGATTAATAATCACAGAACTTGTAAAAACAAGAAGTAAAATAAAGATTGAAAAAAGAAATGACAAACCTTTCATCACCCCAGATGACATTAACTTGCAAGATGGGCACAACAAGAGCAGCCCCAAGAATTCTTGCAATCACAACAGCATCAACAATCTGATTTCTCTGTTGATTCATCCCTCCTGAAACNAATCACAACAGCATCATCAATCTGATTTCTCTGGTGATTCATCCCTCCTGAAACCACCACCATCAAATATTTTGTCCTGTCCTAAACTATCTCACCACTTTCCTTACTGTATTTCTCACTGAAATCCAAACACGGCCTATAACCCATCCCATCAGGCTGCTTCCAAAACTCACTATTCTCATAATTTTTCCCATCTTTTTCACCACTCGAAATTTCAGCCTTTTCTTGAGGAATAAGACATGGGTTTTGTGAGAAATGCATTGCTGGATCAAAGTTGAACCACATCTTCAACATCCAAAGAAACCCAAATACAAAAATAAAGAAAATCCAAAATCTTGGATTCTCGAATAAAACCCTTAGCTTTGAGACGCCACCTTGCTTCTTCTGGGGAGGTTGTAATAAAGACTCAAGTGAAGATTGGGAGATTGAATTGATTATCTGTGAAGGAACTGAAATGTAACTCTGATGCTTCTTTCTGTTGTTGCTCTTTACCACAGCCATTTCACGCATTCGAACACGCACAAGAAAACGCACACTGAGTCTGAGAGACCTCTTTATTGGAGAAAAATCAAATGGCACAGTAATTAATATTAGTTGGGTGATTTCTTTGATCTTTCTTGGGTAGATTTTACACACAGAAATGGGAGGAGAGAGAAAGTGCGGGCGGCGGGAACGCGTAGACCGAGCGATGCGCGTTTGGTATTTGTTGGCACATGGTAGACTCAGAGTCGAAGATTTTTGAATCGAATTTCTCTCTCTCTCTCTATTTTAATATTATAATAAATTTCTTTTTCTCTCTATTTCTTGGTTTTTTTTTCATTTTTTGTGCCTTCTTTTGTTTAGAATTGCATGTAATGTGGGTATATTTATAGCGAGTATCAGGGAAAGTATTTGAATTCTGATAGAGACGTTGGACAAAAAACAACTGGCCATCTCCTAATTATGCCCCGTTTGGTTCCATTATTTGATATTATAATTTATGAAAAAATATTTTTTTGAAAAATGTGTAGTAGAAAAAGAAGTAACCTTTTTTATTTATATGTAATATTATTTTATTATTGAATATGTGATTAAAAAGAAAAGAGAAAAATGTATTATAAATTAATGGGGGCCAAACAGGGACTATATCCTCGATTTGAGATTATTTTTTAAAATTTATTTTCTTCAACTTTATTTTAATTTTTTTTTTTTTTTGTTAAATAATTTTACACATAAATCTAATTTTTTTTTTCGACCTTTTAAGTACGCAATCTTAGAAAATGACTTTACAAACTCTAGTCTTGAAAAATAAGGCTAAACAGGGGCTTAATTCCTGTGAATTTTATCTTGATTTTCTTATTTACAATTCTGCCTTTCTATTTTTGTTCAAATTCTTGGAGTTTATAAAAGAATATACCCCTGTTTGATAGGACTAAAA